TTATGCTAATGAAGCCCGGGAAATTCAAATCCCGGGCTTCATTAGCTCTGAGGGTATGTCTACACTACCCCGCTAGTTCGAACTAGCGGGGTAGTGTAGACATACCCTCAGAGATTCTAGCTCAAATTCGCTCGGTTCAGAAGGGCAGGTCTTTATCCAAAGCTTACTGTGGCCTATGCAAAGTCCACCATTGACTTCACTGAGCATTGGTTTAGATTGCTAATTCCTCGCCAACATGGTTTCCCTTGCAGATTCATTGGGGGATTGCTGGGTTACCAGGGGTCACACAGTTTTATAGGGGCAGGACTTTGGGATAACCCCGGTGAACCACTGCTGTTTTATTGACCACCTCTGCCTTAAGCCAAGCATGGCACCGACTTCACAGCAGGAGGTCGACGGAGCAAACGCTCCTTTTGACTTCCCTCACTCCTCGCAAATTGAGAAGTACCAGCGCCAAAAGGGGGCATCCTCAGTGTTCAATGTAGCAGGTCTTGACTAGACCTGCTAAATCGAATGCCAGAAGATTGATTTCCAGTGCGGCAAGTGGAGTTGTGGCCTTAGGAGTGTATTTACTTAGCTGATAAATGACCATCCTCTCAGGAATGTGGTTAGCCAGTACCTAGTGATACTATTCTTATAAAGCCTGCTTTTCTTCACAGTCGACTTTGGTGCATATTTTTAGCCAAAATGCAGGCTCCAATAAGGCCTACGCTGCCTACAACATTCCCATTCGTCATCTCACTAAACTCAAAACCTTCTTGACACAGGGGTGCCAGAAAAAGGAGGTTAGGGGGCCGCTGGGCCATGGCCCCATAATTTTTAAAAGCAGGAGGGCACAGTCCTTCCACTTTCCATGGAACCTAAGGGTGAGAAATGGCCAGAAAGAGAGTGAAAAGAAGCAAGCAGGGGGCGGGGCTTGAGGGGAAGAGGTAGCGCGGAGGTGAGGCCTCTGAAAATGAGTGGGCAAGGGCAGATGTCAGGAAAACAAGTGACATGGGGTGGGGCTTCAGGGGAAAGAGACAGCATGGGGGCGGGGCTTGAGGGTGAAAAGATGGCTTAGTGAGGCCACAGCTGCAGTGTGGGCACCGGGTGGCCCCCCACATTTAGAAAGCTCCTGTCTTGACACTGATCACTGTCGTCACACTCACTGCTGCCCCTGAGCAGAAAGCTGTTAACCTCTCCACCGGCATGACAGAGGGAGGATCATCCAGTGGGCGGAGCATTAATTGGACACTTAGGAGAGCTGGAGTTCAATTTCCTGCCCTGACGTGTGACCGTCGGTAAATCCCTTGGAAAGAAAAACTGCCTAAGGGTATGTCTACACTACAAAGTTAGTTCGAACTAACGGACGTTAGCTCGAACTAACTTTAATAGGTGCTACACTAGCGCTCCGCTAGTTCGAATTTGAATCGAACTAGCGGAGCGCTTAGTTCGAACTAGGAAAACCTCATTTTACGAGGACTAACGCCTAGTTCGAACTAGCTAGTTCGAACTAGGCGTTAGTCCTCGTAAAATGAGGTTTACCTAGTTCGAACTAAGCGCTCCGCTAGTTCGATTCAAATTCGAACTAGCGGAGCGCTAGTGTAGCACCTATTAAAGTTAGTTCGAACTAACATCCGTTAGTTCGAACTAACTTTGTAGTGTAGACATACCCAGAGTAGTTTGTCAGTAGAGTAATTTGAATTACTGCCCTGGACCGCAAGAGGAGGGCACCTTCCTGGGCTAGTGAGGACATCGTGGACCTCGTCCACGATCTCTGCACTAGGCACAGGAAAGTGGCCGTCTAGGGCAGGAGAGCTGCCAGCCTGGCCACCCAGGACCAGGTGTGCATGAAAATCAAGGGGGTCCACTGAGACCCCCGACCCTGAGCCCTGAGCTTACAATGGCCGTCCTGGGTCAGACCAAAGGTCCATCTAGCCCAGTAGCCTGTCTGCCAACAGCGGCCAACCCTAGGGACCCTGGAGGGGATGGACCGAAGACAATGACCAAGCCATTTGTCTCGTGCCATCCCTCTCCAGCCTTCCACAAACTTTGGGCAGGGACACCACTCCTACCCTCTGGCTAATAGGACTCCATGGACCCAACCTCCATGACTTGATCTCACTTCCCTTTAAACTCTGTTCTAGTTGTAGCCTTCACAGCCTCCTGCAGCAAGGAGTTCCACAGGTTAACTATTTGCTTTGTCAAGAAGAACAACTTTCTCTTACTAGTTTCAAGCCTGCTACCCATTCCTTTCCTTTGGTGTCCTCTAGTCCTTCTTTATGGGAACTCAGGAAGAACTTTTCTGAATGCACCCTCTCCACCCAACCCCTGCTTTTAGAGACCTCTATCCTGTCCCCCCTCCGTCTCCTCTTTTCTAAGCTGAACAGTCCCAGTCTCTGTAGCCTTTCTTCATCTGGGACCTGTTCCCAACCCCTGATCATGTTAGTTGCCCTCCCCTCTCCCAGCCTTTCTCTTCCCCTCTCCCACCTCCTTTTCCCAGTCTCCCCCAGTTTTTTTTCAATAAAGACAGAGTCAATGTTGGAAGAAACGTTATCTTTATTTTGTACATCAATAAGAAGGGGGGCTAGGGAAGGGTAAGTGGAAGGAGGTGAGGGAGGAATGGGGTACGAGCCCCCGATGGGGAGGACTGGGCTGGCTCTGCGGGCTTCTGGGGGTGGAAGCTCTCCTGCAGCCCCCCAATTACTCCCTCTCCCCAGATGGCAGCCTGCGGCAAGTGCAGCCGGGCTGATGGCCGAGTGGTGTGATGTGCCCAGTGTGGGCACTCAGGGCACTCCAAGCCAGAACTTCTTTGCAAGCGGGGCACCCCTTAGAACTGTGTGTCCGGGGTGGGGGTCGGGACCCTTTAAGCGCAGCCCTCGGCTAGCCTGAGACAGCATCTCCATGCTCTAAGTCCTCCTTTTATGCCCTGCCGGCACTGCTTCCGGCCATCCTTAAGCCCTGTTCAGAGTCCACTCAATGTGGACTTGCTAGTTCGAACTAGCAAAACGCTAGTTCGAACTAGTTTTTAGTTCTAGATGCGTTAGTTCGAACTAGCTTAGTTCGAATTAACTAATTCGAACTAAGTTAGTTCGAACTAGCGCTGTAGTGTAGACATACCCTCAGAGATTTAGGAACCTAAGCCTCATTCATTTACAATGGTCCTTAAGCCTCAAAGGGCTGGATTTTCAAAGGTAGTCAGGCATCTAAAGACACAGATACATTCTTCAAAAACACCTGAAATGATTAGGGGCCAGATTGTGAAAAGTATTTAAGCATCTCGTGGGTTTATCAAAAGCATCTGGGTGCCCAAAATTCATTGATGTCAAAGATAGCCAGGAGCCTAGATAGTTCTGAAAATCACACTAGCCATTTAAATACCTTTAAAAATAGGCAGGTGAGCAGTAAGTTCTGCACCAAATGGCTCCAACTTTTTCAGATGGGGTAAATCTGCACTCCAGTTAGGAAGAAACAATCTGTTTCACACGGGGGCTACGTCTACACTGGCCCCAAATTCCGGAAAAGGGATGCAAAGCAGGTAAGTCAGAATAGGGAAATCCGCGGGGGATTTAAATATCCCCCGTGGCCGTTTTTCCCCAAAGCCGAAAAAAGGCGGCAGACATGTTTATTTAAATCCCACGGGGGATATTTAAATCCCCCGCGGATTTCCCTATTCTGACTTACCTGCTTTGCATCCATTTTCCGGAATTTGGGGCCAGTATAGACGTAGCCATACAGAATGGAAAGTGACTGTCTAGGAAGGAGTCCCGCAGAAAGGGATCTAGGGGTTATAGTGGATGACAAGTTAAACATGAGTCAACAGTGTGACGCTGTTGCAAAAAAAGCAAACGTGATTCTGGGCTGCATTAACAGGTGTGTTGTGAGCAAGACATGAGAAGTCATTCTTCTGCTCTACTCTGTGCTGAGGCCTCAGTTGGAGTATTGTGTTCAGTTCTGGGCACCGCATTTCAAGAAAGATGTGGAGAAACAGGAGAAGCCCCAGAGAAGAGCAACGAGAATGATGAAAGGTCTAGAGAACATGAGCTATGAAGGAAGGCTGAAAGAATTGGGCTTGTTTAGTTTGGAAAGGAGAAGACTGAGAGGGGACTTGATAGTGGTTTTCAGGTATCTACAAGGGTGTCACAAGGAGGAGGGGGGAAATTGTTCTCCTTGGTCTCTTAGGACAGGACAAGCAGCAATGGGCTTAAATTGAAGCAAGGGAGGTTGAGGCTGGACATTAGGAAAAAGTTCCTACGTGTCAGGGTGGTTAAACACTGTAATAAATTGACTTGCACACGCTCGAAAAAGAAACATTTTAATGAAGTCTTTGGGGAAGCGAATTAGAATGTGAAACTTATTCAGGAAAATGCATCAGAACCTATAAAAGACCCTAAATTCTTAGCAGCAGGAAACAAACAGTATATGGCTCTCGGAACTGCTTGAAAGCATCACAAGAAATAACAAGAAAAGAGGAGACACAGACACCGGACATGGATCAGCAAAGACCCAGGAAAAGTGGAAGATGTTCTGAAACCGCATGAAAGGTGAATATGATTGAATTTGTCTCTGAAAAAGAAAATGTATAGGGTCAATCCCAAGCTTATTTATTTGGGTCTTATTCAGGTTAAAGCTGTTTTAAAATTGTCTTGTGATTTTCTTTTTTTTTTTTTGTAAAAATCAGGGAGAGCCCCTCAAAATTTTCTGTAGAAAATCTATCTTTTTCAGCCCTATTCTGAAAATGGAACGTTTTTGATTGAAAGTCAAGTAAATATGACAATCAAATTTTCCTTTAAAAAATTCTGTTAGAAAAGTTTTGACTATCCCTGCTCAGGATAAGTAGGTTTAAGCAATGTGCTTGCAATGGGGAGGGGAACCAACATGAGAACTAGACAGACAGAGAAGTATTCTAGGGCAGGCTCATGAACTTCAATCAGTCCAAATGAACAACAATGGATGGAAAAGTTTAGAAGATTTTAATATTCAAATTGCTCTAAAATTTTGGTCAGTATTTCATAACAAAAATGGAAAATAAAAATAAAAATGGAGAACATCTACAAATGGCCAAAAAAAAAAAAATTCCCAGTGATGTTCCATTTTTGAAGTGATTTTTTTTTCAAAAGTAAAAATAAAGGTGGATTTATCCTGAATTTTGATCAAAAATTTGAAACATTCAAGCTAGGATTTTCAATGGTGTTGGAGGGTTTCCCTAATCTGCCTTGCTCTTTGGAAAACTGAGTTCTAGGAATTCAACGGGAACCCCACTTAATTTAAACAGAAGTTGTGCATCTAATTTTCTGATGCTCCTTTGGAAATTCCAGTTACAGTCTTCTCTGAATAGCTCTATTATCCTCTTACTGGAGTGTTTGACAATGATTTTGGGTTAATGTCTTGATGATGTGTATCAGATGGAAACTGATATGGAAGAAGGAGAAAATAAGGAAGGGGAGAAAGGGGGAGAGAAGGATAAGGAAGTTAGGGTCCGTCTACACTGCACCCATCGCTTGAAATAAGCTATGCAATCTGAGCTATGCAAATTGTCTTATTTCAATTTAATTTTGAAATAGCTGATTTCGAAATCTGGCACTGTCTACACAGCACTTATTTCAAAATAAACCACTATTCTGAAACATCCCTTACTCCTCGTGGAATGAGGTTTACAGGGACGTTGGAATAGTGAGCCCATTATATTTCGAAATAACGGGCGTGCACAAAAGATGCAGAATAGCTATTTCGGGATACCTCTGAATATCTGGAAATAGTGCTGCAGTGTAGACGTAGCCTTAGAAAGGAGAATGATGCTGAATCAGAGGGAATTAACATACCAGTGGAGGACTACTAGCTGGTAAGATGTAGCACTTATTACACAAGGATGATCACTACTGTCTCTTGCAGTTTCTCCAGGGTCTGCGGTGCAAAGTCTTGAGGACGCTTCTTTTAAATCAAACATGGTCAAATTGCTCATGCTAAATCAAACAGCCCCCGACAGGTTCATCCTCTTAGGATTCTCCGACTTCTGTGAGTCGCGGGTGCTGCTCCTTCTGTCTTTTCTCATTATTTACATTGTAACCATCATGGGAAATGTCTTGATTGTGGTAACCGTCCTGTCGCAGCATTGTCTTCATACCCCCATGTACTGGTTCCTTAGCAATTTGTCCTTCCTGGAAATCTGCTACACCACAAACATTGTCCCCCGGATGCTATGTGGTTTCCGGTCAGAGAAGAGCACAATATCGCTACCTGGCTGCATGATACAGTTCTACCTCTTTGCGTCATTGGGGACCACAGAGTGCTTGCTTCTTGGCATGATGGCTTTTGATCGGTACCTAGCTATTTGCCATCCACTGCATTACACAACGGTCATGACTGGACGAGTATGCACCCAGTTAGCAGCTGGTTCCTGGGCATGGGGTTTTCTGATACCCGTGATAACAGTAGCAGTGATGTCCCGTCTGACATTCTGTGGTCCCAATGAAATCGACCATTTCTTCTGTGATTTCAAACCTCTCGTGAAACTCTCCTGCACTGATTCCTACTCCATCGAAACCACCGTTTGCATCTTGTCCTCTGCTGTGACCTTGGTCCCATTTGTCTTAATCCTGGTGTCCTATACTCACATCCTCAGGGCCATCCTGAGAATCCCTTCCACAACGGGCAAGCAAAAGGCCTTCTCCACCTGTTCCTCCCACCTCATTGTGGTCACCACATTCTACGGGACCCTGATTGTCATGTATGTGGCACCCTCAGCAAACCACTCGCCAGCTCTTAACAAGGTCTTCTCCCTGCTTTACACCACAGGGACCCCGATGCTGAATCCCATCATATACAGCCTTCGAAATCAGGAAGTACGAGAGAGTGTGAAGAAGCTCCTAAAGGCCATGACCTTGAAGGGCGGCAGATTCAAGGTCACATTATGTAAATAAGAACAGGAGCTTGTCTCTAGAGTAGAAGCGCAGAGTTACACCCCCCTCAGGAACGGAGGTTGGTCGTAACTCTGAAACGTTTGTTAACGCTGAACACGATGCTATGGGATACTCATCAAGATGGACTGCCTGGAGGGGAGGCTCACAGCTCTGCAGTGACTGCCCAGCAAATCGGGGTGGGCGGCAGGTAGCTGGTTCTGTCTGCAAGAGCAATGAGTGAGGCACCGCAGCGTGAGTGGGTGCGCAGTGCAGACTGTGGCCCTTGCAAAGTGCAGGCAGGACTTACACTCCAGGCTAGGTTTCAGTAGCAGTGTAATGAGCTCGGGACAGCCACATGGCCTCCCTCTGACCCAGAAGAGGAAGAGCCCTCTAAGACCCCTTGGTGGGTGGGTCCAGGCTCACCCAGCCTCCCCCACAGGAGTATAAGAGCTCAGAGCTCTGGCGGCCGAACAGGCCAGATGCTCAGCCCCAGCTTGCATGGTGAAGGGCTCAGCCACGCTGTGCCCGACGGGAGAACTGGGTTGGACCACAAGGACCCCTGCCAGCCCCTGCTGACTGGCTCAGGCTGCTGAGACCACAGCCCGCGGACTTGCCAAGACCCCCGCGAACCTCACCGTGCCCCAACAACTGGGCCAGTCCACCTGGGCCCTTGCCTGAGCCGCAGCGAGAACCCATGAACACACTACCAGCACCTCCATCACTAGCCGACTGCGGGGAGCAGCGCCCAAGCCAGGGACTGGGAAGGGGCCCAGGGACCACTGGCCCTGGCAAGGCTCAGGAGATGTAGGTTGGTTGGGCAACATGTTGCGGCTGGGGTCCCCCCTGACCCACAGACCTGGTCGGCGTGTTGAGGTCCGGATACCTGCCAACCTAGTGGCTGCCATGCCTCCGCTGTCAGGGCCCTGGGCTGGGATGCAATGGAGCAGGTGGGGCTGTGTCCTGCCCCCGCCATCCCTTCCTTTGGGTGGCAGGTTCTCCCGGTAGGGAGAGAAACCCCTGCGCTTGTCGGTTCTCCAGCAGCAAGAAGACCCGACCCCGGGCTCAGCCTGCACACAGCCCTGGGTTTTAGACTGTTTAACTAGGGTTGCCAGGGGTCCAGTTTTCGGCCGGACAGTCCAGAAATCGCATCTTCTGTCCGGTAAAAAAACCAGAAAATGTCTGGTATTTTCTGTTTCTCTTGGACGGAAGGCTGGTGGAGCCACTTTTCCCCTGCCACACCTGGCGGGGGCAGAGGGAGCGGGGACTGTGAGAATTATCGGTGCAGCGTCCCTTTTGGGGGGGGGGGGGGCTTAACATTTTTTTTGTTTTTTTGGTGCTCAACCAATTTTTCCCCCTGCCATGTTCGGGATTTTTTATGAAGGTATCTGGCAAGCCTATGTTTAACCGCTTGACTATTTGCTTGTTGTCCTGCCTGAGCCAGGGCCATGGCCTTCCGCTGACAGGAACCAGTACAAGCAGCTTGAAAAGGTTTTTTTCCCCAGGCTCTGAGCTTGTCAATTTGTCCCCTCCTGGTCAGGGGTGAGGGAGAAAGAAAACCAGCATTTACCATCTCCTTCCTGTAAGTGGCAGCCCCCTGCCCTGGGGATAGGGACAGGCAGCCCAGATGTGCCTACTTTTAAGATGCAATACAAGCAGTATTTGCTGGGTTATGTTGTTGTTTTACTCTGCTGCTGCCCGATAGATAGATAGATAGATAGATAGATAGATAGATAGATAGATAGATAGATAGATAGATAGATCAAATAAACACCAGAGTTATTGACTGATAGGTTAACCAGACACAGGAGGGAACAAGAAGTAATCTATCTATCCATCCATCCCCATACACCCCCTATCTATCTATCTATCTATCTATCTATCTTACACCTGTGCAGTGTATGGGTGATCATGCTTTTTATTAACCCCTCTTGAACTTAGCCACAAACTTTTAAATTGCCGTGAAGCCCCTAACAATGAGGGGCTTTGGGGAGAAGCTGTAGTGAAAGATTTCTAAAGTATTCCCTGCCGCAGAAATGGCACATCAATGGGGAAGTTGATCACAGGTTAAGAATGACTTTGTGGCCAAAAACAGAGGATTGAGAGTTAGGAGATTTCAGTGCCTGTCCTGACTGCAGTGTCACTTCCTTTTATGGTGCCTCAGTTTCTTTAACTGTAAAATGTGTCGTGATTAATCTCTTTCGTGTATAGCTTTAACATCCTTGCATGTTAGACGTCTCAGAGAAGACAGTATGCATTATTAGTATCATTATTGATGTTGTTGTCATCGTTTCAGGGTTAACTGCAACATTGTCCTTCCTCCCGCACACTTCTGACCTTTCTTGAGGCAATCCACTTGAGTTTTAGACTTCCCAGCTGTCTTGGGGTGTCTCTTTCTGCCTCCAGATTGGGGGGCTTGAGATATGCTGGAGCCCTGAACCCTTCTGAATCACGGGACTCCAGGGTAATTTTCTCCTGACACACCCCCCCATCCCTGCAGCAGGCCTAACTGTTTCTTTACGCAGCTGTGGCCATTGATCTCTGGCCTCTTAGAACAGGTAATCATCAACTGATTGCTGTCTCCTCAAGGCATAGCTTCAAAAAGCTGTGGGTTTTTTTTCATAACTGGGATTGTTCAATTTTCATTGACCATCCCCAGGTATGTCCCAGGAAACTAATTTAATGTTTATATTGTCCCAAGAGTCCATGTCAAGTCTGGCACTTGACATGCATTTCTATGCAGTCATTTGAACTTCTTTCACTGCCCGGCTCTCCCTTTTGTTCCAATTGCTACAATGGAAAGTCATGTACAGAGTAACTATATGTGTACACTTACTAACAGCTGAGATCCCATATTGTCATGAACGGCAGCACCTGAATCAACTAATTAGACCGTTAGATCTGTGGCCTATCCCTCTCTTACAGCCAATGGAGTTGCTGCATGCAAATTAGCTGCAAGGTAAATGCAAGGTTGGTTGAAATACCTATGATGTCACAATGGCCTCTCGGCTTACTGTGGCGGAAAGTTCGTGGCATCATTTGGCTGTAATTCATAAAGTCTAAATGGCTGAGAACTTAAAGATTAGGCAGTAACAGCCCACAAAACCTAGTGATGATTGAGCCCCACGATATTTTGCACAATGAAAGCTCTCCACTATGCTCCTAGATGTTTCTATTGCTTCACTCTGACTCAACGGGCATGCCAGGCTTCAAAGGGGACACGCAGTAACAATCCTGCAAACTCACTGTGAGACAGCACCCCATATGCTTCACAGGGATGTTACTAGGATATGGTTATGATGTTTTCCAGGCCAGATAAGTCAGGTGAGATGTCATTGGAAAGGTTATACTTTTCTGAATAGGAGTATCTTCTTTGTACGCATGTATCATTTTTGTATCTGAAATTAGTAATGTTGCCTCTGTATCTGTATCACAAATGTGTTTAAGCTTGAGGGATGCCCACTAGATAACATGTTTTCTTTCTGAAGAGCTGGATGGGGAAGGGCCTACTCAAGGCAATGAGGGGGGTGGGGGGAACAGTAGGGGCTTAGGAGAAGCTTGTCTCTCACAAAGGGGAGACTTCCTGGGAATGCTACAGACAGCTTCCCAGTAACGGTGGTGCTGATTCTACAAGGACATCTGATGAGTCCCCATCGTGTGATGATGACACTCCATTGTGGGATGGCAAGTGTTTTCCCACAGATGGCGCTGGGAACCCAGCTTTGATACAAAACCTTCCTGCTATATGCAAAAAGCTGCAACAGGCAGGGAGTGACATCATATGAGGTTCTTCACTGATTCCCCCACACAAGAAGATTCCTGGAAACAGCTGAGGAACCAAGACTGGAAGTGCTGGACCCAGGCAAAAGACATTTTTAGTCTGTGAATGAAACACTCCAAGGAATTCCAAGTGCAGCTTGCCCCTTAAGAGTCTGCAGCCTGCTGATATCATCAGTTAGGGTAAGACTCTGCTATTCATAGCCAATCTATTTAGTATATTAAGCTTAGCTTACATTTTTTGGTTATTTGCTTGGTAATCTACTTTGATCTGGTTGCTATCCTTTATAATCACTTAAAGTCTACCTTTTGTAGTTAATAAACTTGATTTTGTTTTCTCTAAAACCAGTGTGTGGGGAATCATAACACTCAGGGGAAGGAAGCGGTTGCATATTCCTGTCCACATTAAGGGGGGGGAATGAATTTTATGAGCTTATTCACTGTGCAGTGTAAGAGGGTATAGTTTGGGAGATTTATTTCAGAGGTGGGTGCATGCCCTAGCAGAATCCTTCCTATGCAGAGGTGGATTAAAGAGCCTGCTGGCATGTATCTGGGGCTGGGTGTGTCCCTACCTATATGTAGGCTGGTGAAACAGCAGGGTAGAGAAGGCTTTACAGCTTGCCAAAACATACAGTGTAAACGGGAGCCCAAGCTGGTGAGTAAGGGGGCCCCAAGTCCAGGGGGCACCTTGGAGGGAACCCATCATGCTCATATAGATTAAAGCAGAGCAACAATAAGAGATAGAACACAGTTGTATAACTGTGTAAGAGCTGGACACAGGATGGAATTAGAGTAAGAATGACAAAAGCAGAGTAAAGATACTTCAGTGATTTAAAAATGGGGGTGCCTGGGAACATGCAAATGAAGCCCGGGATATTTAAATCCCGGGCTTCATTTGCAACTCCGGTTGCCCTCATTTGCCTACCTAGCTCGAACTAACGAGCTAGTGTAGACATATCCATGGTGAGTAAGGGAAGTCAGTGGGGGAGTTTCTCCCATCAACCTCCCACTGTGCAGCTGCCCCAGAATATTGATGTAAGGTACGTTGACTCCAGCTACACAACTGTCATTGCTGGAATTGCATGTCTTGCATGGATTTTCTCCACCAGTGCAGATCTGGCCAAAATAACCACTGTTCCCAGCCAGGGCTTGGTCAAGCTGGGACTTCAAAACCTCTAGGGATGGAGATTCCACCCCCTCCCTAGGGAACCCATCCCAGTGCTTCCCCACCCGCCCAGGGAAACAGCTTTTCCTCATATCCAACCTAAACCTTCCCCACTGCAACTTGAGACCATTGCTCCTCATTCTGTCATCTGCCACCACTGAGAAATACCTCTCTCCATCCTCTTTGGAACCCCCTTTCAGGGAGTTGAAGGCTGCTATCAAATCCCTCCTCATTCTACTCTCCTGCACATGAAATAAGATCAGTTCCCTTAGACTCTCCACAAAAGTTATGTGTTCCAGCCCTCTCCTCATTTTTGTTGCCTTTTGCTGGACTCTCTTCAGTTTGTTACCATCCTTTCTGGAGAACGGCAGGTTCCCCAAAGGCAATGAACATAACAGGGAATCATCAAGCGATCCATTTCCTGTTGCCCAATCGGAACTTCTGGCAAACAGAAGCTAGGGATACCATCCCTGCCCATCTTAGCTCCATCCATCAATGGCTGTTAGCCAGGATGAATGAGCAGGGACGGAGTCCCTAGCCTCAGTTTGCCAGAAGCTAGGAATGGGTGATGGGGGATCACCCAATGATTGCATGTTCTATTCCAGGCATGTCCAAAGTCCGGCCCGGGGGCCAATTGCGGCCCGTGTTCCGGTTTAATACGGCCCCCCAGGTAATTTGGCAATATCTATCTTTTATGGCCCCCAACGAATCCATATGTATTGAGATGAATACATTGTAAAATCTCAGTTAATGTCAGTTGGTCTAAATCAGTTATAAATATATTTGGACACAACATGTATACTTGGTGTTATGTTCCTGTTCATATTTTTTGAACTTAAAAGTTGACAGACAACCTTTATTACCAATAATATGTAATGTACTTTACAATGTTCCTGACACATATTTCAGCTTCCTGGATTTTTTTTTCATCTGGCCTTCAGATATGAAAGGCAGAGTGGTTTAACACCTGTTTAGATTTGTCATCCATGTGACGAAATGAAAAGTATGCCATTTGCAATAAACTTTGCATAAAATAGTTAATTTGCATTTAATTTTAATGGTTCAAAGAATGTCAGGCAAAATGGTCGGCCCTCACGCATGTTCACTTCATCAAATCTGGCCCTCTTTGAAAAAAGTTTGGACACCCCTGTTCTATTCATTCCCTCTAAGACAGCTGGCACTGTCCATTGTCGGAAGACGGGATTCTGTGATCTGACCCGGTATGGTCTTACATTCTCATGTGACAATATCCCAATAGCCATCTTAATGTGATGGGATCTCTCTTTGACCTCTTTGTGAAGGCCAAGACCATAAGCCAGGCTCAGAATCAGAACTGGAGAGTGGTGGGTGCTGACCGAGGGCTGAGCTCTGAAGGGGGCAGTGCAGAAGTAAGAATGGCAATACCACACCACGCCTCCTTTACTTCTGAGCCGCTGCTGGTGGCATCTGTCTTCAAAGCTGATAGCCATCGAACTGAAAATAGTGCCACCACAAACAGCAGTAAGGGACGGTGTGGCCAGATCTCACTGGCAGCAGGGTGGCCTAATGGTTAGGTCCCACACTTAGCCAGCAGAAAAAGGGGTGCAGAACCCTGCCACTGGTGCCCCAGCCTAGAAACTCCAGCCCAGTATATGAGTACAGTCCTTAAATTTGGGGCATGGCCCCAAGGCTACATCTACACTGGTAGCTTCTTGTGCAAGAACTCTTTTGTGGAAGAGTTCTTGTGCAAAAACTCTTCCACAAGAGCGCGTCTACACTGGCATGTGGTTTTGCGCAAGAGCATCCATGCCAGTGTAGACGTTTTCTTGGGCAAGAAAGCTCTGATGGCCATTTTAACCAGAGGGGCTTCTTGCGCAAGAAATTCATGTTGCCTGTATACACTGGCCTCTTCTGGAAGAACTCTTGCACAAGAGGGCGTATTCCTGAGAGGGAGTGTCACAGTTCTCACGCAAGAAGCCCTGATTTTCTGCAGTACAACGTCAGTTTACTTGCGCAAGAACGCATGGCCAATGTAGATAGGTGGCATGTTTTTACGCAAGAGCGGACGTTTTCGTGCAAGAACGCACCAGTGTGGTCACAGCCCAAGAGTCCAGATTTTCCCCTTAGCAAGGGTTCTAGCATGATTCCCCCTTTGTCCCAGAGGGCGGGGTTGGAGGCTTACTTTTGTCTGTGGTTGGACAGGCTTTGGCCTCTGTTCTACAGGCAACAGAACCACACTCCTGTCTCTGGGCTGATCAGCCCCTAACTGACCCAGGATCCTTCCTTTTATCCTCCCTCCAGGCCTGGCATTGGCTGCAGGCAAAGCAGGGTGGGGCTAGCTGGGCCAAAAGACTTTGTTTTAACCCCTGCAAAGCCAAGCCCTCCTCTCTAAACTCCTTCACATGTGGCAATGCTGTGACCCCTTTACAATAACTTTGTCCTGTCTCTGGGCTGATCAGCCCCTAACTGACCCAGGATCCTTCCTTTTATCCTCCCTCCAGGCCTGGCATTGGCTGCAGGCAAAGCAGGGTGGGGCTAGCTGGGCCAAAAGACTTTGTTTTAACCCCTGCAAAGCCAAGCCCTCCTCTCTAAACTCCTTCACATGTGGCAATGCTGTGACCCCTTTACAATAACTTTG